TGCACTGGCGGAGGAGATGTTTTGAATAGCGTACTAAATGTTTCCAAATTTATCACTGTACAGTAAATATTTCACTTGGCATGGGTGCTCTGGTTTGAGTATTCAATATGATTTAGAGTGAACATCAATGTACTTGAGTGTTCCTTGCAGTAAGGATGGAGCATTAGAGAAGAGAGGGAATACTACCAACTTTGAGTCAATCCTTATTCTGAGACAGTGCAGCAGAAATCCTTGAACTTGCTGTAGTAGGCCGATTTACAGAGGCACCTGGGGCTCTGGCATTAACAGTCCCTTTCATCGCGGTTTGGCATTCATAGCGTAAGACGGTGCATATGTGTTTGAGAGAGAGAGAGAGAGAGAGAAAAAACCCTTATGCAGCTGAACTGGGAGTGATGGGGGTATACGTGTGAAAGTGCAGCGATGTGGAAAAGACAACATCAGAAACAGAAACATATAAACAAAGGAGTGGGAAAGTGTGTGTACATGTGCACAAAGTGTGTGAGCACAAGCGTTAACGTGTGGGGGTGTCCTCTGAAAGTGGAAAGATTGCCTGTCCTCAGCTCGCCTGCTTCCACAGGTAATTTGGAGGCAGAATAACATGCATACCGATGAGCCAATCACAAGGTAGAGTTGACAGCGAGAAGACAACCTAACAGTGAGGGCTGCCAGGAGCTGACACATTACAAGGCACGCGCACAAATGAAGCAAACAAAGATGCAGAGCTAAACTGGGCAGAAAAAAAGCAAGCAGAGATCAAGCATGTGGGTGAAAAACTGTCAACAGGAGTGAGGCCGTCAGATAGACAGAGGGACAGACAGAAAGACAGAAAGGGGGCCCTATCATTCAGTTTCACACCCTACAGGATGAACGGGGCCTCTGTGCTCCTTCTCTGTTCAAACACACCTCACGGCTGTCTGCTCCCTGCAACAACAACGCACAGATACACACACACACACACACACTGCAGCCTGCTTGACAGTGGGCACAATAACCCCATTGAGAGGCATCGATAGGGAGCTGAAAGAGAAGTGAAGAGACGGAGATGAAGAAAAAGACTGACAACACACGCATGCAGCAGCACACATAAATACACTCCAATAAACTGCAGTGTGGCCTTCTTGCCAACTTGACAGCCTGGGATGAATCTGCTTTCTTCTGTCATTAATCCATCATTCATCTGACCAATCTGGTTAGACTGCCCACACACACACACACACACACACACACACACACACACCCACGCACGCACGCACACACACATGCCCCCACACACACACTTGTTTAGTCAAGGGCGGACCAGTGGTATTGTCTCACAGGGGAAGCAGGGTGGTGATAACGGATCTCCATACCCTTTATCTGATTGCTCACACACACCCACAGAGAAACACGCACAGTGTACGCACATGCACACTTTTACCATCCTTTCTCATCAGCTGTTGAGCATGACCTCGACCACACACAGAATAACAGTTCAGTGCTGCGAGGGAAGAAAGTCTCAAATCAGATACACACACACACACACACACACACACACACTTATAGCCAGGCCAAGGTAATTACATCCAATCGGCAGAGCACTTTGAGGCTAGCTAAAATATCATATTCTGGGCGTGTGACATGCTCATAGCTTCACCAGATGGCAGCTTATATATGCATGTGTGTGCGGAATGTGTAAGTCTCATTTATTTGTTCTCTTACAGGAGGTAATAGAAGCCAACTAAGCAGAGAAGAGGACCATCTTAAGATCGAGGCACTTTCACCGAAGCTAAACAAACACGCATACACAAGCACACAGGAACTGTGTGCAGTGCTTGGCCCAAAACTCAGCCCATAAATGTCCAAGTCACTTTTTCCAGGCTCAGCAACTCCTGACGTCGTATAGAAACGCTACAGTGGAAGAGAGGGAGACTCAATGAAGAGGGAGAAAGTGAAAAGACAGCGCAGGAAAGATGGGAGAGGGGCAGAATATTTAAACCAACTTAACGTCCCAAGAGCTATAAGCAATTAACAATGCCATCACATGCACAAACACGCGCAAGTGCACACACTGCAGAGCAGGGACGAGGTCTGGATGAAAAGCAAGCCAGCAGGGCAAGGAGGCTGAGAGGATAGTGAGAGAGGGAGGGAGGCGAGGAAGGAAGGCAGGCAGGCAGTGACAGAGAGGGAGAGAGGATGACAGTGCACCATTTCTTCTATGGTGGTACAGTCAGACGTGTTTAATTTTGCAGCTCACACTAATTAACTCGCCTAACCGATGCCACAGCACAAACCTAGTAAAACCACCAAAACCACTGCCTAAAATAGAGAGTACTGGCTATTTACCAAGAGGGTTTTCAGATTGAAAACAATATCAACTTTTATTTGATCTTTATGTTTTCTGATAATTTTTTTTAATGGATAAATCACATACATGCACACAGAATGAAGCATCCGTGCAGATATGATGCGAATCTTGAATGCATGAGGGCCGGTGTCACCAGGAGACAGAGAGGGGCAGAAACCTCAGTGGTGCAATCCAAAAATAAGAACACAGGTCCTTTGGTGATTCATGTTATTGTCAACAACTTCAGTTTCCCTCCTGCTTCCACAGAAACACACGTTGTATCCTACTACATGACCTGTTTCACAAGTTTGTACAGTATTACGACACAACAAAAAATCCAGTCCTTGTAAAAGTCAGCCCCCATCTGAAGTCAGCGTTTCTGAGAGGAAAAGTCAACAGGAATTCCTTGTGTCTGTGCACAAACAAAATATATGTGAGTCTTGTCTCAGCATCTCCCTGCCTGTACAACAATTACACAGGAAATGTTTTTACATGATTATTCTCTAGATTCTTTAAAATCACTGAATAAAAACAAGCAATTAAGTGGCTCCATGTTTGTCTAAAACAAGCAGGCATATTATCTCACAGGCCTGGCATAAGCTAGCAGAGCAAGGCTGGAAACGATTAGTTGTAGCTATGTCCAGCCAGCACCATGCACCAATACAAGCCTCAACCTCACCCCCACCTCCCTACCCAGGGGCCTGCATGGTCTACAGCCTGGGACTATTCCATGTAACGTGCACAAGTCAAGAGAATACCCTCCTTTATGCTTGTTAGTTTCACAATGAGCCTCTTCATTACTTATATTGTGACTCAACATAATACAGGAGAAGACAGAGGAGCAGAGACAACCATGAGTCAGGAGCTGGAGCATCTGTGGTTAGGAACCAAGGGACAGGTTAAACTGTCTGTGCTCAATTAATCCATCAATTAATCTGCAGAATATTTGCTGTTTTTCTCTGTTTTGTAAGAATTAACCTGAATATATTCAGGTTTTGAAGAGACACACAAAGCCACAAATTGAAAGTTGCCACTGTGACTACTGGGAATCTGTGACAGGTTTTAGGGCTGAAAAACTATTAGAGAAACACTCAACAGATGAGTATATCATAGAAACAGTTTGGAGCCCAAATTAAAAACCCTACTTGGTAACAACAGTCACCACCATATTCAGTTGTGTAGGTCAACATTTTAGCTTTTAAGCCAAGGAAGCCTGGTCAGAAACAACACAACTAAACTTGGTTTTGATTAATTGGGAGATCATCAGTTCACCTTTTCAGAAATGTAAACAATATGACACAAATTCACAGAATAAACTGTAATACTTTAAGAACTAAACTGATTAGATGTTGTAGATTAGGCTTTTGTTTTTGTCTGGGGGTTTGTTGACTTCTGATGGAAATCAAACTACTGCTGCTGAAATCAAACATTGACTGTGTGTGAGAACGCAAATGTTCCGAGTCAGTTGCTCTGGACTTTCTTTAGAGCGAGTGGGCGTGATGCAAAAGAGATGCCATACATGTAGAAGATGTCAACTTGTAGAGACATGTAGATTCAAGAGATTTTGGTGATAATGGCCAACTCCCGTGTCAATGTGCTTTAAACAAAAACACCTGATTTCTGCAGCAGAATCTAAACGTTGTGTCCTGTCTCCCCCACACCCAGACACCACCCCTCACCTCAACGCTGCTGAGATGTTCCTGTTGATATGAAGGCGTCTGACTCAGACACTATGCTGCTGCGTTCTTCATATTCGAAAAGCAAACACTGGATAAAGTCCAGACATTATCTGGAGTTAATGGCTCTGGTCAGTTCACCAGCCACTTACCTATACCCTATACCCTACCTTAGGTAAACTAGGGCTGAGATATACCACAATATCAATAGTCTAATTGTAATTCATATTAATATAGCAATAGCCCAATACATATGTATTGATATATTGCTTATACATTGTGCAAACAGTGAGGAGGTCAAACTCATAATTGATCAACCTCAGGTTTGTAAAATCTTATACTGTTTATTAAATGTTTGTCATTCTCTGCTCATAAAAATTAGTTTAAAACCACAACTTCACTCAATCAAGTATTTTAACCATAAAATAGAAAATGTGACCTTTATCGTGATTATTATCAAAACCTTCTGATTTGAAATAATCTATCTTGGGATCTGTATTTTGGGGTCATATCGTCCAGAACTATGAAAGACCCACGTAATGAAGGCTTTAAATTGAAGTGAGGTTTGTGGAGCGGTATGTCACAGCCTGGTGTCATCCATGTTTTGAGGGTTCGAGTCTTTTACGCCCCTCAACTCAAACACAGCAGCGGTATCGAACCTGAAAGAACCGCCGCGGTCAGCGGCTGCTCGCTGTGCGTCCCCATAACGTCTGTTCCCACAAACACACAACCGCATATTCAACAACACAACGACAACACAACTAGAGCTGACCGTTAGCTCGTGGAAATACACGCCGGGCTCCGGTGAACCCGCCACCGCAGCCTCCCGGTCTCCTCTCCAACACCTCCCCGACTTGTTCGCAGCGCAGCGGGGCCTCGGACGCCACAGCGCGGCGTCGTCCAGAGGAACGACACGGAAAGTTACTCACGTTTTAACGGCGCAGAGGCTCAACTGTGACCGACACATTCAAGAGAAAATCCCCTCATACCACATCACTCACCTCCTCTCTCTCTCCGGTGTGTTCACGTCCTACGGGCTGAGCTCCTGTCTTTTTTACTTCTTTCTCTCCTCCCCTCCGTGTCTCTCCCTCAGCTTGTTTCTTTTCTCCTCCCTCCCAGATGCCGCTTCTCTCCGGCAGGGGGAACCGGGGGACGCCGCTCCGGAAGCAAACGCTCCTCTGTGATTTAAAAAAACAACTCTCTCTATCATTTAACACAAATTAAAGCTTCATGTTATTAACCAGAGAGAATGATGATGATGAGGATGAGGATGATGAGGATGATGAAGATGATGATGATGAGGATGTTGTGATGATGATGATGTTGATGTTGTGATGATGATGATGATGATGAGGATGAGGATGTGATGATGATGATGAAGATGATTAAGATGATTAAGATGTTGTGATGATGATGATGAAGATGTTGTGATGATGATGATGTGATGATGTGATGATGATGATGAGGATGAAGATGTTGTGATGATGATGATGTGATGATGTGATGATGTGATGATGATGATGTTGTGATGATGATG